ATTATCAGAAAACAATTTATTTAAATTTACAAAATAATTTATTTTATTGGGAGTGTGAATAAGTTCTCGCCGTTTCACCATCAGATGTCGATATAAAAATTTTGTGTGTATAATTCAAGATGATGACGCATCTATATTGAAGTTCTATAACCTATGTTTAAAATCAGTGAGTAAAATCTTTCCATTAACCTATAAAGAACATTTTCTTTTCGTAGCGTAAAACATGTCAAATTTCGTGCCAAATAAACCGTTTTTGCGGGGAATTTTACTGCACTACTTTATTCAGAAGAAATCTGCAGCTGAAGCACACAGATTTCTTGTAGAAACCTATGGTGATCATGCTCTGTCGGAAAGAACATATAGAGATTGGTTTAACCGATTTAAAAATGGTGATTTTGATGTTCAAGATAGAGAACGCAATGGTGCACCAAAAAAGTTTCAAGACGAAGAATTGGAAACATTACTTGCTGAAGATCCATGTCAGACGCAATCCGATGTTGCAAAATCATTAGGAGTTGATCGAACAACAGTTTCGAAACGTCTGACAGCATTAGGAATGATACAAAAGGAAGGATCTTGGGTGCCATACGAACTGAAGCCGAGAGACGTCGAACGGCGTCTTGTCACGTGTGAACAGCTGCTTCAACGACAAAAAAGGAAAGGTTTCTTACATCGTATTGTGACTGGTGATGAAAAGTGGATATACTACAGTAATCCCAAGCGTAAAAAATCGTGGGTTAAGCCCGGCGAAGTAGTAGCATCAACGCTAAAGCGGAATATCCACGGTTCCAAGCTCATGCTCTGCATTTGGTGGGATCAGCTGGGGGTAGTGTATTACGGGAGCGGTGCACTTGGACACGGTGCATTTGGACACAACCAATCACAGCACCGTGTGATTAGAGACATTTGTAGGGTCCCTTGGAACAGCGACTTGTGATTGGACTGTGTCCAATTGTCCAACTGATATACACCCAATTTAACATGTTTTACGCTACGAAAAGAAAATGTTCTTTATAGGTTAATGGAAAGACACGCACTGATTTTAAACATAGGTTATAGAACTTCAATATAGATGCGTCATCATCTTGAATTATACACACAAAATTTTTATATCGACA